TGATTCTTCCTCCAATGCAGAATTGACTACTCTCTCCTTCTTTTGGGGTTAGTATTATTCCTCCTAACTATTTCTATCAGCACCGTCATAGCATACTGCAATGTTTTGTATTTTTGCCTGTCTCTATTATGGCTCCCTAAGGATAGGAAATTTAACTTTACTTTTTTGGTATCCTTTGGCCTAACATTAGGTACCTAGTAAATTTCTGCTGAACAAGTGAGGGAATGAAAGATAAACTTGCAAATCTATATTTTTACCCTGGACCTTTCTGCCAAGTGCCAAACCCATGGAGGCTGAATAGCATGTTGATTAAGAGCTTTGGATTAAGAGCTGTGTTTGGATCCTTGTCCTGCCACTAGATACAGATGCCTTTGTGTTTTGGGAGGATTAAATGAAATAATACATGTAAGACTACCAAACACCCTGATAAATGATATTATATATGTCCAAGTGCCTACTAGGCATTTCTCTTTGGATATGTTGTAGGAATTTCAAATTTATAGTATCAAATCAAAGTTACCATTTCCTTAAAATTGAATTTTTTTCTTACATCTTTTCTTTTTGTTGTGAAACTACCAGTCCTCCCACTCACTGAAACCAGTAAAATTTCCAGGTCAAATAATACACAGCTTTAAAGGGTTTTAAATGACCAGCTGTTCAAATTGTTCTACAGAAATATAACCCAGTAATAGCATGAGAATGACTATTTCCATACACCTCCCACCAACAATGGATATTATTAGCCTTTTAATATATACTGATTGGATGGGAAAACAATGGTTTGATCTTTTGACCATTCGTATTCTTTCATGAGTTGCCTATTATGTCATATTTGAGCTGTTTTTCATGTTTGTGAGGGAGCACGTACTTCTGATATTGCAGTGCCATACTGTATTGTAATCATTGGCTTCAGTCTCTCCTCTGGCGGAGTGCAGTCTCTTTAAAGGCTTGTTCACATTGTTTCCCCAGCACCTCACCTAATTTCTGGTTCTTTGCACGTCACTTAACGTATGTTTGTTGAATTGAAACTTCACTATAAGGGAGATTGAATCCCAGAGGATTTGGATTTGTGGTATTTGATTTATTGTTCTATTGGGGATTTTTGTCTTTTGGCTGGGCTTCTGTTTATATCAAAGATATTCACAGGTTATTGAATTTCAGTGGCAGTTCTCATGAGTAGAAGAGTAAGTGGATGTATATCAGCTTATGTTTTAATTTAGTAGTTGCTGTTCGTCTAGAGTTACCTGAAGTTGTAAAGACATTATTGCTTATCATCATACCTTAGTAAACTTACATGGATGAAAATGGATATACTTACTCTTTGAGCAT